TTCTACAAAATATCCCTATTTATAAATCGCAAATGACTGACTTTTTTTTTTAAACAGTATGAGGAAGAACAAAAACAAAAACAAAAAATAAAACTTATCCTTCCACAGTCCTATAACTAGCTGTTGTTGAGAACACTCTCACCTAGGCCTCAGACCAGTAATCAAAGTATTAAAAAATACAGACAACTTTTTAAAAAAAGTTTCCCTTTCACCATGTCATAGTGTGGATAAAGATAACCCACCTTTTGCAGGTTCACTATAGCTCATTTTAACATATGTCTTATATGTGTAAAGCATTAGTGAAATGAAGATAAAATGTCCCTTGAGTAGCTTGCCTTTCACTGAGGAGATGTAACATATTCCAAGTATGACATACGACTATGAAGCCTGAGTGTAACAGGTATATACAGACAGATAAACAGTGTGGTTACCACAGTAAATATGAAGTATATATGTGGGAATTTGAAGGAAGCTAATGTTTCTAAGAGGCAGAGATGAAAAGGATGGACATTTCACATACAAATTAGGTCTGTTCAGGATAGAGGGAGTAGTATGTAACTCAGGTTTACAAAGTAATTTCCTTTTATCAACCCTGTGAGGGAGGTAACATTAATAGTATTCCTTTGTTCTTTTTTTTTAAATGAGGAAATAGTCTAAGAAGTTAACTGCTTGTGCACAATCACACTAGGTGAGTGAGGGATTATCTATGGCAGAATTCAAATATAGGTTGCCAGGGTTCCAAGTCCCATGTCCCATCCACACTGATAATAATAGGTATTGGACCTGTCATTTCTTTTAAAAGAGGAAACACCCAGATGAAGAAACTCCTTCTACTGATGAAGGGTGGCACTTTCCCTGCATCTTAGAGAGTTTTAGAGTTTCTTAGAGGATTGAGTGGCTAAGTGACTTGACCAGGGTCATAAGGCAATTATATCAGTAGGATTTGAACTACAATCTTTGCAGCTCTGAGGTTACCTCTCTATTTACTATACTATCCTGCCTCTATATTTATAATAATGATAGTTGTAATATAGTAGACATTTGTTTAGGAAGGAAATAAGCATTTATTAAGTGCCTACTATGTTCAAGGCACTGCATTAATTACTTTACAAATATTATCTCATTTTATCCTCACAACCACCCTGGGTGGTTAGTAGTATTATTACCCCCACATCACAGGGGAGGAAAATGAGGCAGACAAAAATTAAGTCACTTTCCCAGGTCACACGTCTGAGGCTAGATTTGAATTCAGGTCTTCCTCACCTCAGGCCCAGTAATCAATCCATTTTGTCTCCCAGATTCCTCTATATACAAGAACCTATTCTCTAAAGCTGCTCGAAGAGCCTGCCCTCAAGATTTGCCACCTTGCATCTGAAAGATGACCAACTATTTATTGCATTGTAAAGGCTGCACCCAAAACTGTATATTTTTCATTTTTTCTCCCTCAGCCTGAAATGTTTTGCATTTACTTCCCTAAAAAACACAATGGCCCAAAACGTCAGTGGTTGCTGACTGTAGTTTTAATAAGGAATTGAGGAAGAAGATCTAGCAAAGCAAATGTGCCTGTAGTTCAAGGTCGAGGTGAATTAGGGGTATTCCAGCTAAGCCTCTGTTGATCTTCTTAGGAAATTCAGTAAGCTGAGAATTCCACTTTTAAGTTCCATTGCTTACATTAATCCCCTTGTGAAAGAGAACGAAAAGAAAAAACAAAACAAGACCACAACACGAAAACTAATTCAGTGAATTTCACCAACCTCCAGGCTAAAGTGTTGATCTTTATTTTAATAATAATAATAATAATAACAATAGTAGCTAGCATTTATATAGCAGTTAAAACCTAGAAACTACTTTAGAAATATTACTTCCTTTGATCCTTACATCAGCCTGGGAGATGAGTGCTACAATTATCTCCATTTTACAGATGATGAACTGAAGACAGGCAAAGTTTGAGTGATTTACTCAGGGTCACACAGCTAATAGATGTCTGAGGCTAGATCTGAACTCATGTCTTCCTGTGTTTCCTATGCCCCCTACCCCAGTCTTGCTCTTCTAGCCCTGCTCCCAGTCTTTCCAACTGAAATTATTTTTGCAAAAATTCCACCTGAAATTACATTTCTAAATTTCTCTTTTTCTCTTTTCCAGGGTTCCCATGTAGCCCCTAGACTAGGGCATCTTGTCTCCTCCTCACATGATCCACTATCTATTTCCACTTTGGGCCCTTATTCTATGTCATCTCATTGTTCTAGAAGTCTTTCTGGCCCTTAGGTTCTTTGGGTTATCACTATCCATTGGTAAGGGTCTTCCCAAACTTTCTAATGCACGAACACAGAGAGCCATAGAGAGGGGATCATTGAAGGAGATGTGGATTTCCAGAAAGCCCTAAGAGTTGACCCACACTCCTCAGCCAGAATCCTTGGAGACCCTCACCAGCACAGTGGAGTCCCAGACTGACTCCACTCAATAGGATTACACTGTTGGCAGTTTCATCTGAATTGTCTAGGTGGGCCATCCTCAGTGAGGCTAAGGACAATCAAAAAAAGTACTAGAGAAGGGACCTCCAGCCTGGGCATCTGGGCCAGAGATAGGAAAGAGGAGGTGAGAACAAAAGGATGTAATCTAGCGATTGAATCTCCAGGTCTTTTGTTATCGGCTTCTACACCTTTGTAGAAATGATTCCCCATATCTGGAATGTGCCTCCTTTTCACATTCACTTCATAAAATCCCTAGCTTCCTTCAGAGCCCAGGTCGGGTACCACCTCCCACCTGAGGCAGTCCTCTCCTGATCTCCTTCAGTTAGTATCACTCCTTTCTTCTTGGAAATCACTTTAGTTAACTTGCATACATTTTGTATCCTCTCTAGTGCAATGTGAGTGCCTAGATGACACAGACTTCAGTTTTTGGTCTTTCTATCCTCAGCACCTGGCAAAGTGTCCTACATAGAGCAAACACTAATAACTGTTGAATGAACAAATGAATGAATGAATGAATGAATGGGAATAGGGGGTGGAGAAAAGGGAGAAAGGAATGAGAGATAAGGGCTGTCAAAGGTAGCGGAAATGACATTTAGAAAGACATAGTTTAAAAAATTGCCCACCTGAAAAATATTGTAAGACAATAAAAGACAATTGATGCCTCAGAGCTGCTGAAGTTAATAGACCACAAATGTTACAGACAACAAAACTCTGAAAAAAAAAAAAAGAAAGAAAAAAGGAAAAGAAAAAAAGAAGAAAACTCTATTTTAAGGGAAGTCAAGCCACAGCCCAAGACTGCATGTAGTCACCCTGGGGCTAAAGTGCAGCTATCATATAGCAAGAGGCAATCCCAGTGCAATTCACTGGTGTGCTTCTCCTCTAGCCATCTGTGTAAAGGGCACCATCCACCAATGAAGCGTTTGCTCATTGCATCCCCATGGATCAAACTACGGACTGCTTTTGACAGAACTAGCACAAGATTTCTGCATATGCAGTTCTTGGGTTGAATCTTCCTACTAATAAGAGTTCTGCTTTATTCCTTTAGGTTCCTCTCTCCACTTTTTGCACAATAAAATAGCAAAAAGTATGACAACCCAAAGAACTGCTCCTAGTAAACATGAAACAATGATCTTTCTCTTTCATCACCATTTTGGTTATTTTACATCATTGGAATACAAATAACATGTGAATCTAGTTTCATTTCCACTACTCCCTCCCAGCCCCAAATTCTTTTCTTTTGTGTCTGTTCTTTCTTTCTTTCTTTCTCTTTCTTTCTTTCCCCCCCTCTCTTTTTCTCCTTTTTTTCTTTCTTTCTTCCTACCAATGCAAAGGGATCATAGAATACTCAGTGCTAAAAGAGAATTAGACTAAGTCTATTCTTGCTCTCCTTCCCCTAACCCCAACTTTGCTCATAGCTGCTCCCAAAGCATCCTAGCCAAGAGAGTAATCTTTCCTGTCTTCAAAAACCTCTTGAAAAAGCCACCCAGCCTCCCTTCCTCTCTAATGTCATTGTCAGGAAATTCTTCTTTCTAACCTAGATTCCTCCTCATGTGGCAATTTAAACCGGTTTCCTCCTGCTCCTTCTCAAAGGTGACTAAAACCAGCTAGTCACACTCAACTGTGTAAAAAGACCTTTGTACACATGAAGATAATGATTAAATTGCCCCCTCACCCTTCTCTTCTCCAGGCTGAATAGTCTTGACTCCTTTCAACTTTTCTCAAGGCTGATTTGATCAACTTAATCAGTCCTATGGCTCTCCTCTGAACCCTCTTCAGCTTCTCCAAGTCCCTCTTTAAATTATGGAGTCCAAGACTCCCCAAAGTACTATAATAAAGGTCTGATTTCATAGTTTTTACATGCTCTGCTTATTATCATCTGTCAGTTGGCACATTATTATGTTTTCTTCTTAGACTCACTTGCTGCATTAAAGGCAGCACTTCCTCATCTTGTTTTTGCGATGTCCCCTCCCCCCTTTATCTCCCCCTTTCTTATCTCCCCCTCCCTTCCCATTCAGAAGCAGTAAGGGAGAAAGAAAGGAGAAAAGAAAGGAGAAGGGCATACTTTAGAATCTCCTAATGATGGTGGGTAAATACTTTTAGAATTAAATACTAGCAAAAAAGCTTTTTAATACTGGATGAAATCACCTTCACCACCACATCCATTAGCATCATCTAAATTCTAAATGTCCCTTCAGAAGAGAATGATGCTTTGGCAAGTTTTGCCGGTTATGCAGGGCAGTAAGAGAGAGATGTGCAGAAAAGAGGTTACTTGAAATGTTATTTAACATTTTCAAGTTTTAGGTCTGTTTCAAGGAGCTTAGAAATTCTAAACAGGGAAGCAAGAGATTCTGAGAATTTCATTTTCACAATAATGAGCCGTATTTGTTCCTCTAACAATGTGTGGCTACCAGCTCCATCCAGATCTAGATTAAACCTCGAATTTGAGCAAAGTCGAAAGAAGATGAGGGTGGTCTGAAGTAGGTATTTAGGGTAAAAGTTTTGGTTTTTTTTAAAATGAAAAACACTGACCTGTATCGCTTTAAATCCGTCGAGTAGCCCCAAGTTCTAGGTTCCCCTCTTCTGTTGTAGCCTGTTTCCTGTAAATGCTACATGTGACTACACTTCCTTACTGCACCTTGCTCAGCTTGCCACTCAAACCGGCCAGAGGCATGTGATAAGATCGCCTCTCTGCTTGTTTCACTCAAGGTTTTCTTGCTGTCTTTAAAGCAGTGACTTGTTCCCTTCTCCCTCTCTACAAGTCACCCCAGGTAACAATTTTTTTGGTGTTTTGGGGATATAGTGAGAGAGATGAGCCAGGGGCAGGGGCTGTGTCACCCACACAAGCCACTCCTTCTCCTGGGAGGAGGGGAGAAGGGAACAAGAGAGAAGACAGGAAGAGGGAGGGGGTAAAGCCTCAGAGGGCCCCCAGGGAAGCTCCGCCTGACTAGGACACCTTGGACAATTGAAAAATGCAGAAGGCAGTTCCAGATACCTCTGGGAAAGCTTAGGGACCCTTAGGTGCTCTTGGTGCCTAGGCATTGATAAAGAGGTAATGGTACAGGCACAGCTACTTGACTCCAAGGTAGGCAGAGGGGCTTCTCCAGTGGCCATGCCCTGGAGACTATCTCTGGGCCTCAAACCCTCAGCTTTATAAGCTGGTATCCCCTAAATTCTGGGAACTAAAATCCCTGGGAGAAGTCACTTCCACTGCAAGCCTCCTACTTCTCTGGCCACAGTGCCCCCCAAACTCTTCTACTTTTGACCGTTCTAAGAAGGGATGTCCTTCTGTCTTCTGGTGGTGCAACATCGGCAATGACAATTATACTACTAATAAAATAATAGTAACTCGTGTTTTATAGCACCTTAAAGCTACTTTTCTTACAACTCATTGGAGTAGTAATGCATAGATATCAAGTACGCAGTATTTTTTCCAACAATGCAGATTACAACCCCTCCTCACCTACCCATCCTGCGTGACTTGTGCTCAGTCTTTGTGTAAGTTAACCATAGGGGCCACCAATGTAGGCCTTCCTTCCTCTGTCCTGACATTGAAAGGATACCAGTGGGGCACACAGGGTGGTTAGTGGTTATCTCTTGTTTTCACCACATGACCAGCCTTTTTTGACAACACATTTCTCTGAAGACATCCTTTACTCCAGTTCTCTTTTGCAGTTTTTTCTCTGTACTACTCATACTCACCCTGTGAATAGTGCTAAATATGACTGTTACCATTTTATCCCTTCTGGAAGAATCAAGAAGAGCTCAGAATGAGTGTCCAGGGCTCAGGGAGGTGTTGCCTCTACGTAGCCAGTAAGTAACAGAGTGGAATCGATACCAGGTCTTCAGACCGTGAAGACCCAGTAGTCTTTCCACACTGCCCCTCACAAAGCCAAATGAGAGGCAGCTAGGTGGTACAATTGATAGCGCACTGACCCTGGAGTCAGGAGGACCTGAGTTCAAATACAGACTCAAACACTTGACACTTACTAGCTATGTGACCCTGGGCAAGTCACTTAACCCCGATTGCCTTGCCAAAAGAAAAAAAAAAGTCAAATGAGATAGTAGTATGTAAAGTGCTTTGCCAACCTAACTCACTATATAAAAATGAACTATTATTGTCACTACTGGCATCAAGAAGGAGGAAGGGACAATGCTGAACCAGGTATAAGATGAGTACCCAAAGGACCAGAAAAAGGGATCCAAGGATGTTAGAGCTGGCCCTTAAAGAGCACCTTGGGCGGCAGCTAGGTGGTACAGTGGATAGAGCACCAGCCCTGAAGTTAAGAGGACCTGAGTTCAAATACAAACTCAAACACTTGACACTTACTAGCTGTGTGACCCTGGGCAAGTCACTTAACCCCGATTTCCTTAAAAAAAAAAGAGAGCACCTTGCCCAACCCTTCTCATTTTACAGAAGAGGAAATTGAGGATTAGAACAATGAAGTATTGTAGAGGTGAAGTACAAGGTCCCATAGCTGATAAGCAGCATGGTTCCCAGCCTATTGCTCTTTCTATCCTTTCCTCCCTATAATGGAATGATTCCTTAGCTTGGTTGTGCTGCTTATTGATATGTTAATATAGGGTGTCCCAAAAGTCCAAGTACCTTTTTAAGTATTTTAGTAACAGAAAAATTGATTGAGACTTTTGGGACACCCTACACATTGGTTACTATGTTCTACAATGTTATGACTTAGCGCTTATCTGTATGTTGTGCTACATAAGACCACCCCAAATGAATATTCTCCAAGTTGTTCAGCTAGATTGGATAGTGGGTGTGCCCTCAATATGGCACAATGGAACCTACCTCAAGAGCCATGGTACAATATGTCACAGGAGTGGCTGTTGCTCTCTCATTTCTTCTGCTCACTCTACCATTCTCTGCTCCTCCATCAGAACTCTGAACCCCAACCATGTAGGAGTGGCAGAAAGCTGAAGGCATACAGAAAGCTAAAGAGGTGAGAAGCTTTCCCATTCTCGTGGGTCTTTGCCCCTTTTCCTTGGGTTCCTCATGAGGGTTCAAAACTGACCTTTCAAGGTGTGGGATGGCAGCACATACAGTGGAGGTTGGTGTGCAAGGGTGAGGAGAATATTGTGGACAACTTTGACTTAGGTCAAAAGCCCCACACATTGCTTTGTTTTTGTTTATGTTTTTAGTCCAGGATGCCCTGGTAGCATGTTTATTTGTTTTTAAGTTAAATTTATATCTTTTAAAAGAATGATACAATCACCTCCCTATACCCTCCGCACTAAATCATCCCGTGTAACAAAGAAAAAAATTAAGCAAAATTCAATTGACATTATGCATTTGTAATGGCCTACCTCTCAAGCATGGAGAGGAAATGTATGCTTCTACAATGTATTTTTTTTTTCTACAAGGTAAACATAGCTTAACTGTTCCAAGGTCTGAAAATACTCAATGTTCCCAAATGAATAGTTCCATAGGAAAACAAGAACTAAGAAATGTGCCCAGAGAGATTGAGCACCTGATTAAGAGTCAATTCCCTTGAATTCTAACAAAATGATTGTGTTCCAGGCTTTGGATATACCCACATAGAACTGGTTTTTACCAAATTGACAACTAATGGCTGATTTTCTGGTTTAATTTAACTATCAGTTTTGGTCATTTTAGTTAATATGATCAAATCAGTTTTGTCCTCATTTTCTTTAGATTTATAAGTAGAATGATGACAAATATTGCCACCTTAGAGTCAACAATAGCAAATAACTTGGCAAACTAAAAATGTGAATCCTCTATGAAATTTTCAGAAAGTGATCTTTCCCTCTTCTAATATTCTGTAAGATTTTATCTGCAGTTTCCTTTCTTTCTTCCTTCCTTCCTTCCTTTTTCTTTCTTTCTTCCTTCCTTTCTTTCTTTCTTTCTTTCTTTCTTTCTTTCTTTCTTTCTTTCTTTCTTTCTTTCTTTCTTTCTTTCTTTC